TAATAATAATAACTAACGTATACGTATAGTATAGTATATATATTATTTTATAGTAATATTTTTAATATTTTTAAAGGTTGTGTCTGGTTTTTATAACAAATACCTCAATTTTCATGTCAACTGGAATTGTAAAATAAAAAACAAAACACAAATTGAGTCGACTAACTACCTAGATTAAAATTGGGCCATTGGGCATATTCCCTCTTGAACAGGAGCGGGCATACCGCATACAAGAGATGATCTACACACACACACTTCGATGTGCGAAAATCCCCTTTTGATTCTAATCCAATCTGCCTAGGGTTAAATGCCCGTCAAGGCTCAGATTGGGATCTCAAGCATAAAACGAGCCTTTTATATGTTTTGATTCTAGAGAAGTTTTACTAGGCCTATCTTAAATTTTAGGGTGACAACAAAAACCACTCAAATAGTAATGCAATAAAAAATTAATAACAGACCTCTCTTAGTTAACCAAGCTCTAGCATCAAGTATTTAGCATGTATTAGCCATACGTATTCTACAACCAAAACCTCACCAACCTAACGATTCTGAGGATGCATGTTCAAAACATAGAACAATATAAAAGCGTAAACTCACATTTTGCAAGGCCAATAAATAACACTAAGGAAATATAGAAAAGGAAAGGAAATACACATGGTCTCCAAATGTATGCTGAAGTCGTGCATGCATGGTAGGAATACCAATAATTATTTCGCTTAATTTTCTTTCATTAAGAATCACATTCAAAGAAGCTGGCTTCTATACCTTGTCAATTATTTCTGTCAAGTGATTCAGGATCAGGGCACGGTTTTAAGCATCTAATAAAGTCAACGTATGTAATAAGGATACTAGTGAACCAAATCCCAATCAAAGTCACAACTGAAGAAAATGAGCTCAAGGAAGCAAACAGCAAACATGGAATTAAGCAAATGCAATTCTATGAACTTGGAAGTTGGAACTCACAATCCCACCCTTTAACAGCTGGAAAAAGTAAGATGTGATTGTATGAACCTAGGAAATGGCAAGATTCAATAGGCAATGTTCAAGAAAACACGTGCAGCCACCTAGGTGGTTAGGTGGGCAGCCGCCTAGGGCACAGGATGGCCACTGTGTAGGTATTGTTTGGGGGGGGGAGGGGGGAGAAGTGGGGGAGGGGGGAGAAAAGTGGGAGTGTGGGGTTTTTCAATTTTAAGATGGAAATTTTTTTTCCAAAGTAGCCCTTTGCCTGAATTTATGTACAGTATGCTTCCGCAGGAGCATGCCATACGTGTTAAACAATACATTTTCATGGATGAGATCAATTATAGCATGCTTTTGAAAGAGAAGTAAACAAGATGTCGCCATCGGCTATGCAATAGCATGCAACTGTTTGGAGCATATCTCCACTTGTCATGCGACTATTACTAACACAAGGTGACCGCTTGATTGTTGTAAGATAACAATGAGGGAAGCATTATCTTCATGACGTTTTAAAAGGACAAATATTCTACCCATGCGACACATGGGAGAGAGAAATCATAAGAGTTTGAGATTTTTTGCTATTCTTAGCCTAACCCTATATAATTGAAATATTGAACCAAGGCGAATTCTATTCAGTTTTTATCAAAATATTTAAAATATGGTTTTTTATTTATTTACAGTTTGATTATTTAACCCAAGATCGAGGAACCCGCATACTGGAAGAGAGAGGGATACATAGAGTGATAGGGTTTGAGAAATTTGCAGAAATGAAGAGATAGAATGGGATTTCAGAAGAGGAGATAATCGAGGTAAGAACTATATAGAAGAGATATTTAGAGAATTCTCTACAATTTCTAATGCAGGATTTGATGAGCTAATAATTAAGAAAGAGAGATATTTTCTATTTAATTGGGGGGAGAGATAGAGAGAGAGAGAGAGAGAGAGAGAGAGAAAGAGAGAGGTTTCCATTTATAAATCAAATTCAGGAACCTTTCTTTAGGTGGAAATAGGGAAACTATTCTCTACAGAAAAAAATAAAATCATAGATAAAGTGCATAATTTAATAAGGCATGATGATTTTCATGTCCTTGATGTAGGGTCTCATTTCTTTAGTGGTCTAAATATGGGTAACTGATACATTATCAGGGCTATTTCTGAATACAAATCCTTTCCAACTCGGACGTCATCATGTAGTCTAGATTTTCAAGGAGCTTCAATGGATCGATGAAGCTTTAAATGTTTACTTCTTGTATGTTGACCATGAACCTAATTCGTTTGAAAAGAGGCTAATTGTCTAGCTCTCATGGAGATGCTTTGGGATGCAATGCTCATCCACCAAACCTAATTGCTTTCTCTCACTTCACACCTCATCTTCTCTCTATAACTACCTAATTCAGAATATCTACAGTCCTTTATTTTGAAATGTAACAGCATTTTATTAAGGTGGAATACAACTACAAAACCAAAAAGGGGAAAGTCGATTAGGCATCTTGATGATCCTAAACAATTCATCTACACCAACAGGCAATCTATAGTATTAGACAATCAATGGTTTACGTTTCACATAGACATGAACGATATCATATTAAGTAGTTAACTATGAAAAATGTCTGAGAGAATACTTATTGAGTCCCTCTTAAATGGTTCCCAAGAATATGGGATGTGATAACACATAGAAATTGTTATCTATTTGTTTCATAAGTAACTATAATTTGCAAAGGGTTTTGCGCGTTATTTAAATGGACTGGGAGCAGTAGAGATGTTTAACGCTTACCAAAGATGCGACTTGAAGGAAGAGGATATTGATAACTATCATCCATTATGATACTTCAACCATTTATTGTTAACTTAAGGAAACTCATCTCTTTTGGACCATGTCTAGAAGGTTCACATAAGGGCATGGCCATGGCAGATAGAGTGGTTCCAGGACAAATCTGGTCTCTTTCCAGTGAGCTTAATTAATGCATATAGGGGTTAGGAGCTAATAAATAATATAACTTTTCAGTTTCTATTAGTTGGGTTTATAGAACAGAATACAAAGGAAAAGAGAAATAATATTCAAGAAAGCACAAGAATTATCCCAAAAAGAGAGGCCAATGTACTTAAAATTCTTGAAATAAACTCAACAAAAATTTCAAGAAAATCACGAGTCTCCCCATTAGCGATCTCAAGGAGGTGGCCTGCCTGGCGCCCAGCACCCAGCGCCTAGGCGGGTGCCCAGAACTCGGGCACCCTGTAGCTTTTTTCACTTTGGGGGTTTTCATATATTGAGGGTTCCTGTTTTCTTTTTCTTTTTTTTTTCCATTTTTTTTTTTTCACTTTGTGGGTTAAAAATAAATCCCATAACGTTTTTATACGACTTTGGGGGTCAAAATGACCCTTTTTGCCCTTTCGGGCGATTTAAAAAAACAAAAAAGGCCTTACGGCCCTGGGCGCCCACCCAGGCACATCTACCAATGTAGGGCCGCCTGGGTCTAGACGTGCGGATTTTTTGTTCAGGCCGCCTAGGCGGGCACCTAGGCGCCAAGCGGACCGTTTTTTAAAACATTGATTGATCTCAATCCGAATGATAGAAGAACTCAAGAAGCAATTGCACGTCGAATAAATTCAGCAAGAATAAAAGAGGGAAAAAGGGAATTATGTAATAACACGGATTCTCTTAAAACCAATTAGTCCATAGCTAACCATAAACAAGATGAATAAACTAGAATCATACATAAAGGACCAACGATACAACTTCAAACACAAACATACCAGTAATATAGAAAACAATAAACAACTACAATAACATCATTCCTCTTAATTTCATCAGTTCAAAGCATTATTGATCAGAAAGGCAATCGAATCGATGAAAAAGACCTCATAAAATGATGAATAACCCAAAAAAAGAAACCAACAACTCAAATCTACCAAATATCTCAAGAGAGAGAGAAAAAGGAGCGAGAGAGGAGCCTACCTGTATGCTGAAATCACCATCCATGGAAACATTATGTATTCTTCTCCATCGAAACACATGAAATCAACTGTTGATGTTCCACCTTCAAGAATTATCTGATGCCTTCTTGAATCATCTGGCGCTCTCGATGGTCGAGATCAGAGGTGAGGACGGCCAAATCGATCTCCGAGGAGAAGGGGCCCCGTAAAACTGTGTTCACACAATGGACAGCGCAGAGTTTTGATTCCTGGACCTCTGCAATAATTCACATTTTCCAGGCCTTTACTTGTTCATTCAAAGTTCGAATAAAGCCCCACTATCATGAGATAATATGCACCTGAAAGGGCAAGAAGAAACTGAAATAAGACCCTTGGGCTACTTCTTTTGTTGTAGTTCTACCTGCCACCTTCTGAATGTCATTATACTATTCACTCTGGTTCACGGGAAACTGATGCAGTCCCCTACGACTTGGTTAGACTCTTCATAAATAGTCTAGAGATATATTTGCATTAAAATGCAACCTATCTCAGGTCAAGGTCATGCTACCTTAAACTGACTTACCTTGATTATCATTCGCCCGTGTTGCTTTCCGCATGTCATGCAAGGTCACATTGGATAGTTAGGCTGGTTTCAGCATCATAAAAATGGGGCACAGTGAAGTTAAGCATGCCTACCTTACTTCCTTCAACTGCAACGCATGCAAAATAATGCACTAAAAGCAGACAGCATAAAATTGCTTATCCATTTACATAGATGCAAATAGCCATCGAGAATTTACAAGTAACTATGGTTTTCCTGTAGAAAGAAGCAAGGCTAGCTACCTTCTAGTCAGTTTTCTAGAAGATCGTTGGAGTTGTATCTTCCTTTTATTCATGTAGGTTCATGTAATGTCCATGAGCAAATTATACCTTGCAATTTTGGCTATGCATCCTCCCTGAGGCTTATGTACCTGCATACTTGGGTTTTGTGGATACCTTGAACCCTTACGTTCAAAAAGTCGGCCATTCAGGTAACTGGGAGGCCATACCGCCCCGTCTTGGGGCTATATGGCTTATGGCGTGGTGGTAATCCAGGGCGGGCGCTCAGGTCCTACCTTGGGCCCTTTTTGCGAGGGTGGAAATTGCCTCGCCAAGAGGGCATTTAAGGCATTTACCCCCTTTAAAAGGGGGAAATAGGTTATGGGGGATATTTCGACCCCCCAAAACCCTAGAAAGTGAGACTTCCATGTCAAAAACCAATTTTTTTTGCTTGCATTGATTTTTATTTTTTTTTAAAAAGATCGATTTTGAAATCGAAGAAATCGAAAGACATTCGACTCGGGTGAGAAAATTACATTAAGAATTATACCTAGAACTTGAAGAAAATATTGTACAACTATCACCATATGTTATGACTAATAAAAAACAAGTAAGAGACTTCAGTGGATAAGAGCAATTTTTTTTTTTTCAAAACAATATATGGTGTTTGGCATGCTGTTTTGCGTCTGTTTCACCCATTACAATCGGCGGAGATGAGCTTGTGGGAATCCGATGAGATCACTAAGACATCAATCCACAGTCTAGGATATAATAAAATTGATATATATCTAAATGGGGCAAATAGTGAAGCAAGTACAGATTGAAATTCAAAAAGAAATGCAGGGATAAAAGTCTAGGCATAATACAGGACAATAAAATGGAAGTACCAATAGCGAGTAGTGTGCTATCCCAAAGGATAATGGGATAGAAAAACAGAGCAGTTGGTCTGTTTATACATCATATTACGAAACATAAAACCATTTGTACAAATAAATGTAAAATAAGATCAAAATCTGACTTGAACCACCAAAACTCCCGTACATATTTAAAGGGGAGTGCAAAAAGAACGAATGATGAGAATTAGAAATAGCAGTACTGAAAGGAGATGATACATGTGCAGACGCTGGTATGTGCACGCACACACACCCCAAAGGACTGCCAATAAACAAAATGCAAGTAGCAAAGAATATGATTCACTTACTCTACGTAGAACAGGGGATAAATTTATTAGTTTTTTCAGGAATTGGTTCTCCACTAGTAAATGAAATATTGAAAATACACAATTCAATTACAATATTCCCAGGAGGAAAATATATTGAAATCATGCACTTCACAAAAAGATTAACAAGGCAAAAATAAATAAACCATTTCTTAACAAATGCATTCTCAAATTACAAGTTCAGAGACAACAGTTACCCGTTGCAAAGGCAGGTATTTCAATGTCTGTGAGGTTAGAATAACACATAATCTTAAACATTCCTCGAGGTTGTATAGCAGGGGAACCTCGGTGAAGATAATTCAACGTAGACTCAACTTCCCATGATTTCCTCTAAACTTGTTTCCGCATCATTTGCAGTATTTTGGCAAAGACGACTGACAAGAGAATTAGAAACGGGCAGTTGAAGTCTGAATCCCATCTCAAACATTAAATTCAAAACTAATAAAGCATCATCCACCTCATCTGTCAGACTAAGGCATTCAATCACTCTATTGAAAGTATATTCTCGAGGTCTCATTTTACCTGCTAACATCTTTTCCAGCATGGCCATGGCCTCGACACAGTTTCCCTGGTCACAGTATCCTTTAACAATATCATCATGAGACCAGATCATTGGAACCAGACCCCTACTCTCCATATCATGAAACAACTCCATTGCTTCATCCATCCTTCCTTCATTAGAGAGGACCTGAATCAGTGGAGTGTAAGAGGCACTGATAGGCTGCAAACCCCTCTCTAAGAGATTGGTGAAAAGGCTCATAGCCTCAGTTATGTTCCCTTCCTTGCAAAACCCCTGAATCAGTGTATTGAATATGATTGTATCCAAAACAATAGATTTCTCTAACATCTCTTCCAACAAGTCCTTTGCTTCTTTACTCCTTCCATGCATACACAGGCCCGAGATCATCGCACTGTAAGTCACCAAGCCGGTCTCGTGGCCTCTCCTTTCCATCTCAGCAAACAATTTAGCCGCCTCCTCAAAGTCACCCATCTGAGAATACGCATGAATCATCACAGTATATGTGTATTTGTTAGGAACAATCCCCTTCTCCACCATTTCAGACCAGAGCTTCTTCGCCTCCATGATTCTTTGATTTTTGCAGAGCCCATCCATGATCGTAGTGTAAGCGATCACGTCAAGGAAATAGCCACGAGCCTTCAATTCATTGAATATGCGAAGCCCCTCGCCAATCATGCCAGTCTTACACAGGCCACGGATGATCTCCTGAAATGTGAGTATATCAGGCGGACAGTTCCTCGCTATCATCAAATGGAGAAGCTCTGAGACTTTGTCATAGGAATTTTCTCCGCTAAATCTGCAAACTAGTTTTGTGAAGGTAACAACATCAGGCACAAACCCATTGCTTACAGCTTCTTGAAGAAGGTTGTAGGCTTCATCCCACTTCTTCTCTTGGCAAAATGCTCGAATAAGGTACCCGTATGTGGTTGCATCACCTGCGACTCCAGACTCCATCATCTCCCCATAAATCTCCCATAACCGATCGGTTCTAAGGTCTCTGAGAAAACCCAATAACATGGAATTCCAAACAAGAAGAGAGGGAGAAAACCCATGTCGTTTCATCTCTAAGAACACACCAAAAGCCTCGGAAATTTTTGTCGTTCTAGAGAACCCAAGTATCAGCGCCTCCAAAAGTTGAGGCTGAGGCCTAAATTCAGCTAAACTTAGCACAGTCTTGGCGGTTTTGTACTCCTCTGCACTCACCAAAGTTTCAAGAACCATGTTGCAGGATTCGTCATCAGGCTTGTATCCTTCAAGGTAACAAAGCCTTTTGAAGAATCGAAAAGACAGAATGGTATCATCTAATATGCCCAAGACCTTGTGAACGCAGTTGGGTTTCAAGAAATCATGAGAAAAAATCGTTCTATCTCTACAAAAGCCAGCCACCATTGCCTCCAAAACTGAAGGCTGAGGTCTGAAATCCACTAAATTTAGCACAGTAATAGCAGCTTTCCATGCCTTGGCATTCACAAGAACACCAAAAATCGTATCACAAGATTGGGTATCAGGCTTGAATCCTTCTTGTAAACAGAGCCAACTAAAAAATCGAAAAGAGAGAAAAGGATTGTTTTGATTTCTCAGGACCTTATGAATACAGGTGGTTTCAAAGATATAGGGTGAAAAATCAGAAACTAAGGATTTTTCCCAGAGACGATGAGTTCGAAGCCTTTGGCATACCTTTTCTGCTACCTCTGAGAGCTCGGCCTCTTCGTTGGCTTTCTCCTGTCCCTCCGAAAAGCTCGATTTTGAGGCTTCTCCTTCTTCCTTCTCATGACACTGGTTATTGCTCCTTACTGTGACCACAAGAGCTCGAGGCTTGGCAATGGCGTTTCGATAGATATTCAAGAGTTTCGAGATAGGAGGAAGTCTCACCATTACCATTTCCGATTTGGAAACTGATCAGTCTCAAAAAAAAAGAACATACTTCCTTCTCAAATTTCCATTATTTCTCTCTCTCTCTCTCTCTCTCTCTCTCTCTAACTTGCCAATTCGTTCGAGGTCCGACTGTGTTCTATCTTAGATCTTAGTAGTCTCCCCACCCGGAATCCCTGTTCATTTTTAAAGTAGCTTTCTCTCTCTCTCCCACTCATTTGCGCTCTCTCTCTCTCTCTCTCTCTCTCTCTCTCAAGGGCCTATTTCTCTGTCGTCTCTCTCGTGCGGATTCATTTGAAAACACACTTGGTCTCTCTTCTCTCCCATGGCTGCCTCCCGGCTTCAATGGTAAAAACTCGTCTTCGGAAAATCAAACCGGCCCCGGAGTAAGAGGGTAAACTGGCCTAATCCGGAAAGCCCCGGGCATTCAAAAAAGTAATAAAATAAATAAAAAATATATAAAAAAAAAGAAATACAATTAAACAAAATACATGTAAATGAAATTAAAAATTAGTGAAAATAATATATTTTTTTAAAAAAATAGTAATTAACACAAATATACCTATATTTTAATTTAATTAAAAAAAAATCTCATTTATACTTTTTTTTTTCATTTTCGGGTTTTTTTTAAGATAAAAATGATTCTCACGGTATTATTTTACGGTAATTCATATTAAGTTTTACAGTAATTAAAATACAGTAATAACTTGAAGTAGTAGTACCATAATTAAAATACACTAATAACTTGAAGTAATATTACGGTGTTTTAAGTACCGTAATAGATAATATTTTTTTTACCGCATTTTTTCTATCGTAATTAGGCATCATGTATGACTTCGTTCTCGACCAATGAGGAATAGGAGAGAGAGATGAGACTTGGGAGAGTAAGGGGTTTTACGTGAGAGAGAGAGATATAGATTTGAGAGAGAAATAATGATAGAAAAGTGGTATGGAGAGATAGAGAAAAAGTTTAGGGGTGGATAGAGATGAAATAGAGATAAAGACCGGCGGGTGAGTTAAATGGGATAAAAATGATTTATTTGAGGGGATTGAGAGAGATAGAGGGGAAAAGTTGAAAAAAAGAGGGGTATGTGGAATTAAAAGTGCCGTATAAAATGAGTTAAACATTACGGTAGTTACAGTACAGTATAAAATGGAAACATTACTGTAGAAAGAATATTGTAAAGAAAATGTTATCAATTACAGTATTTTAATTACAATAATACTACTTCAAGTTATTACAGTATTTTAATTATCGTAAAACTGAATATGAATTACAGTAAAATGACAATAGTGAATGTCATTTTTGTATAAAAAAAACCCGAAAATGAAGAAAAAATGTGTAGACGAGGTTTTTTAAAGTTGGGTTTTTTTTCCAATTAAACTAAAATATAGGTATATTTGTGATAATTACAAAAAAAAAAAGTATATAATAAAATTATTCACTTTTTATACAAGAAGGTGACAATCATTGTGAACCGTTGGATGTAAAAACGGATAGGTCGTGATGCATCACCGGTCCAAAACAAACTTTCCTTAAAGTTGTAATACAATTTAATATGTTAAATTTCACGTGGCTTAATTAGTGAAGCACAAAGTCCAAAACAAATTTTCTCAAAAGTTGTGATAAATTTTAATATGTTAAATTTCACATCGAATGGCTAGAAAAAGTTGTGGCTTTTTTGTACAAAAAAATAAAGGAATGGTCTCACATAAACCCAAAAAAAAAAAAAAAGGGAAAATTATAAAAAACTCCCAAAATATATTTTTTTATGCAATTTACCCTCATCTAACTTTTACTCTCACATTTTTCCAAAAAATAAACTTTTTATGCAAATATCCAAAGGAAAAAGTTCACTTTTCTAGACGAAAATGCCCTTCTCGTAGCACACTGCCGGAGAGCACTTAAACAATGCCGAAGCCCTGTGACTTAGAATGCTCCACTGCCAGAGCGCACATACGCAGTGCCGGAGCGCTGTGTTACATTGACGGAACACACTTATGCTGTGCCGCAGCGCGTATCACATTACGGAACGCACGTAAACAGTATCAGAGCCCTATGACTCAGAATGCTCCACTGCTAGAGCGCTGTGTTACAATGTCGGAGCGCATTTACCTACTAACGGAGCGCAGTGTTACATTGTCGGATCGCTCTTACACCATGCCGGAGCCCCTGTGACAGTGGTCCGTTACGGTTTAAGGGCGATCCGACAACGTACTATGAGAATGACATTTTCGTCCAGAAAAATAAACTTTTTCCCTTAGGGGGTTATTTACATAAAAAACTTGTTTTTCGGAAAAAGTGGAAAGTTAGCAAGGGGGGATAAGTTGTATAAAAAGTTGATTTTAGGGTTTTTTTATAATTTCCCGAAAAAGAATGTATACAATGAGAACATTCCCTTTTTTATAAGTCACAATTATTTATAATCATCCACTGCGAAATTTATCATCTTAGGTGTGTTATAAAGTTCGAAATTTTTTTTTTTGAAATCTGTGTATGGTCAATAAAATAAATACATTTATCTAATTTCACAACCAATAATTAACATTAGTTATGACTACTTTATATCAAAAGTAAATAATCTCATTATATATTTAAAAAAAAAAAACCCTATTAGACCACCAAAGTCGGCCAAAACCGAAACCCGCATTATCTAAATTGAAACCATCCTGGGTTTCTCTCTCTCAATCTCACTCTAACGTTTTCCACATCTCATGCTTGTATTCAAAAGTTTTTCTCTCTCATGTCATGTTTGACAGAATGGTGCTCTCTCTCATCCCACGTTTGACAGAATGGTGCTCTCTCTCATCCCACGTTTGATAGGCAGACTCTCTCTCTCCGTGGTTCGGGCTGGACTTTCGGTAATGGGAGACTGTATTATGCTTTTGTTGGCAAAATATACACCAACTCCCTCGAGAAGATGGTCTATTTTGGACCATTTTTTCAATCTAAAAGCAGAATCACATGATTATTTTTAAAAGATAAATTTTGAATTTTAAGATTTCTATCACTTAGATATCACCTCAAAAAATTGAATGCTCTCTATTTAATCTTGAGACATTATCCTTTTCAGGTGCATAAAAAGTTTGACATGAAAAGCTAATCTACATGTTAAATCACATCCCCAATACTTGGGTCATATATTAAGTCTTAAATTAGATTTTACCCGAGAGAGCAAATGGACAAACGTCGATAATTGTTAGAGTACAATGTACATTTACTCCCTTGGGTGAAGGCTATTCAGAAGTATTTTTACTCCTCAAATTAGTCAAGGACATGTAAAAAGTTATAAATTAGGGATTGTATATTATGAGACTATTTATCTTTAGTACAAAGAGGTCACAATTATTTATAATAATTAGATGTCAAATAGCTCGGGGCATTTTATGAAATTCTAATTTATTTTTAAACTTTAAGTCTAATCAATGACATTCTTACAACCACCTCATTTGAAATATGATCAGTTAAGTCCCTAATTTCTTTAGAGCATCACCTCCTCATCTAACCTCAATAAATAAATAAATAAATAAAAGTTTATATAAGGTGTCAACATTATACTTTACAAGTAAGGTGCACCACAAACCTCATTGGAAAAGGCTTTTTCCTGATTAGAAAACGCTCAAATTGATCATCTCTATGTCAATGTAATTGTAAATCTTGTAACACATTATTTAGATCATCTATTCTCAAGATATTTAAGTATTCATAGATTTGTTAGATCTGTACTATTTTTTGAGCTTCCAATTTCATAATCGGGTAAAAATACATTTTAGGACAATCATAAGAGTTTCAACGCCTAAAATACATCAGATTTTGAGGTACACCTTATAGTGATTATTAAAGTTTACACCTTATACCTCATCCGTAATAATAAAAAAAAGAAGGTCTCGTAATGCACTAAATATATGCATGGAAAAATAATGCCCTTTCAGATTGGAGACTGTCCAACCTTTCAACTACCAAATTTAAGCGCATAGGAATTCAAAATCCTTTGTTTATTTTCAAAATACTCATGTATTTTCTAAAGTAGATCCCAAAAATAAGGATCATAATAAAATTATCTTTGCGATAGGTATAGTGTGCTGGACATATGCATCCACGTATATTCAAATATAAGCACTCCACACCTACCTAATCCCCAAGTGTTTAGGAATCTAAAATATTACATAAAAAGAAAGATCACTTGCTTTCGGCGTAAAGAGGTCACAATCATTATTGACTAGTGATTTAGAAAACGGATCAGTGCTCCGGATCAGGCACTTCAAAAACCCATATGGATCGGTGAATCGACGATTCGGATCGAAAATCAACCGACTCGGTCGGATTAAGTTCTAAAAAAATCCAAAAAAATTATTAAAATTAATTATAAATGTTGTCTTTTAGGAATCCAATAAGAAATGAAGATACTCCATTGTTAATTTTCGCTTTTTTCATCAATTTGCGAATATTTATATGTTTTTTCTCTGTATAAACTTATGTAAACTATTAAATTTACATCACACATAATAAAAATCATATAATTATCATGGATAAATTATATAATCATACATGGACTATTATAAAGAGTAGATTTAATCGATAAAAAATGGCCATCAAAATCTTAAATTGGCGGAAAGCTCTAATCCCCTAAAAATACCCAAATTATTGCAAACTAACTAACTATAATCCAAATTTATTACAACCTAACTAACTATAATGTTATATGCTGAAATTAAAATTGTTGGTTTAAATTTTATAATTATTTTATTATACAAATAATAACAAATCTAAAATATTTTGTAATACAATCTAATTTAAAATTTATTATTGAGAACCATAAGAAAGATAATAAATTACATGATTTATAATGAAAAAATTAATAAATAAAATACAAAATTGGTTAGAAATTATTAGAATGCATACCAATTTTCGAAAGAACACTTTAATTTTTCAAAATTTTAATTTTTGAGATTTATAGAATAAATTTAGTAAAAGATATTGTTAATAGAAAGAGAGAGATTTCAAATAGAATAAATTTATTTTAAAATAATAATAATTTTTTAGATTTATAGAATAAATTTTGTAAAAAAGATTGTTAATAGAAAGAGAGTGATTTTAAAAAAAATAAAAAAGAATTTATTTTCTGCTTATTTTTATTGTCAACAAAAACAAAATAAAAAATAAAATTTTTATTGTCAACAAAAATAAAATGTTTTCATGTGGAATTGAACTTGAGACGTAAAGGCTTAATGTGGAAGTGAACCAATCCACCACATCAACACAAGTATAATTGTTTTTTACATTAATAATACTTATCCAAATTCCATCGTAATTTAATGCATCATAGGAATTATCCCACATCCAACAACGAGGTTTAGTTTCGCCTCTATAAATTATTTTGTAAGTTCATTAAGGTTTGCGCGTGTGTCCCTGAGGTTGCCATCCACGCACGTTCGGTGGGTGACGGTAGTCTTCCACGTGTGTGAGCCATGGAAAATCTACATTTTGCTTTCACCCGTGTATGACGCGTTATGTGACTCGGACCCCGTGTATGACGCGTTATGTGACTCGGTATCGCCATGTGATGTTATACGGGCGACTTTCGCCCGTGTATGACACGTTATGTGACTTGGACTCGCAATGTGACGTCATACGGGCGACTTTCACCCATGTATGACATCTAAGCGATTCTGTATGACGTGTTATGTGACTCAAACTCGCCATGTGACGTTATACGGGCGACTTTCACCCGTGTATGACGCGTTATGTGACTCGGACTCGCCATGTGACATCATACGGGCGACTTTCACTCGTGTACGAAGGCATACAAGTGATTCACTGTGCAGAACCGGCCGATTCGTTCTAGAACTGGCGGTTCTCGATTTTAGACTGGAATCGACAGGGGGTAACCGATTCCTGTGCCGACTCAAGCGAGTCCGTTGCGACTCGCCGATTTTTAAATCATTGCTATTGACGATTGATTAGATAGTTGGCGATGTCATTAGCTGGGTACAAAGTATAAAATAATATTTTTTGAATGTTGTAATACATTTCAATCTCTCAAATTTCACATATGATGGATAAAAGTGATTGTAACCTCCTTGTATCAAAAGTGAACAGTCTTATAATATACAATCCAAAAAAATAAGAGACCATATACAATGAGACCATTTACCTTTGACGTAAGGTGATCACAATTCCTTACAACCATTTAATATGAAATTTGATAGCTTAGATGTATCACAAAGCTCAAGAAGATTTCTTTTGAAATTTGAGCCTGTTCAATGGAATAATTGCAGCCACCCAATTTCTCATTTAAGGATCAAGATTAATGTGACCAACTTGTATTAAAGGTAAATGGTCTCACTTCATACTTTCCCAAAAAATAAACACGAATCGTATGTCATTATTTTATGCCTTTATCAAGGCTTGGTTTGGAATTGGATGGCCATATAAATAAAACATATAACCCCATTTTTTAGAATATAAGAAAAACATTTCCTTTTCTTGTATTATTGTTCTGGCTGGGTGCCAGAAAATAGGCTCCTCCATGAATATGGAGGAGTTTTGGGGATTATCAAGAGTTATGATATGATCTGCACAAAATGGGAGAGGTAATGAAGATCAAGCCAAGAGAGATTTGGTTTATGGGAGCCACCTGAAGAGTGTTGCCTTGAATTGAATTTCAATGAAGCTCTTAAGTTAGGGTGCAGTTTGCATACGGATGCATCCGTAGGTATAGAGGTAAGGTGCACCTTCAAATTTTATCATGGTATATGATTTTGATGTAAAATGTTTTACGATTATCTCAAAATCTACTTTTATATCTAATTATAAAATTATAAATTTAAAAAATGGTTAAAATCAAGTAGATATATAAACATATAAAAATCTTGAAAATGAACGGTGCAGATAATATATTGTACAATGCACTATTTCTGAGACTTAAAATTTTTATATTTTTCATAGTCATACGTCTTGATGTTGAGAAGATCAATCAAAGGGTTTTTCAACATTAAAACTACCTTTTCTAATGGATTTTTAAGACGCATCCGTAGTTCTACCTTACATTATAAGGTAGCATCGTTATATAAACTTTTTCCCTTATGTTAACCCCAGAATCCTTATATAAACTTTTTCCCTTATGTTAAACCCCGGAAGTCGTGTGGTGAGGGATAATAGGGGAGCAATTATGAAGAAATACGATGATCCTGAGTCTTGTGGGCATAGCAACTGCTAACAAAGCTGAGCTCCAATCATTATTACAGGCTAAAGATAGTATTACAGTATGGTACAAAGTTGGTACAAGGAGACTCTTAATGTGATTTAAATTAGCGTTCGGTCGCTTAGCTTCGGCCAAAGCCTTCGGATTTTAGGCTTAGATTGAAGCTCTTTTCGCTTCGGCCAAAGCCTTCGGATTTTAGACCTAGACTGAAGCGAAGCTTGATGTTGCGGCTTTGGTCAGATTTAAGCCGCTTCCGTAAGACTCGGGTCTGCTCCAGGCTGATTCAGCCGAAGCTTCAGCCAGTTCTGCCTAAGCAAGGAAATATCTATATAAAAGTACGTTTTTTATTTTCTGAAATTTTTTTTTTTACTTTTTTATTATTTTTATATATTTATATATATCAAATATCTAATTTATTTAAATTAATTTTTTTTTTAAAAAAAGTCCGAAACCTTTCCCCAAATCGGTTGAAGTACCGAATTGCTTCATTTTTCTCACCAATCCAAAACAGACTACAAAGCGTACATGACAACATTGATTTAAATGGCGCAAAAAGGAAATGGAGGTGTTGCGGTCACCATGAAAAAATAGTGAATTTCATGCCCCCAAATGGAACCAAAAGATGCACATGCCCATCAGATCCTGAAATGGTAGGCCTCCCAAGACTCTTTGCCCAAAATAAATTTATGGGTCCAAGACACAAAGAAAAACTAGCAAATACAGCATCAATACAATCCATTTTAAGTGGAAGAGAAAAATACGCCATCAGTCTTATAGATGATTAGCATCCACAGAGGCTAGCATGCACATCTTTGCAGCAAACTTTGGATTGCACAATCCTTAACACAATTGTAAGGAAAGATATTTAATTTACAAGAGCCCCTAATCAACGTAACATACATTATAATGCTCCGGAAACAACGAATTATATGACCCAAAACCACGCTACAATGGAACCAACAACCAACCCCACACCCAGAAAGAGCACAATCACGACCCCCGCCATCTCAGCATGTTGCAAAGGAACAGCCTTTGGAGCCAATATCATCAAAATACTTGTAACATACCCGTTTGTAAGCCCCAAAAGGCATGTCAACACAGTGACTGGGATCTCAGTCCTGAAAAACTTTGGCCCATGCAAACAGCCATAGAATAATGGATAAAACAACAGCCTGACCACTGTAGCCCCAACTGCGATTTTCTCATTCTCGATAATATAAAAAGCAGTCAAAGTTTTCCCTACCAAATCAAAAACATTATAACCAGCTATGAGCAAGATCGGGTACCAATCTTTGAGGAGGCTAGAGTGCACGTCTTCTGTTATATAACCTGGAAATATTGAGAGGGTAATCACATAAATGAGGCCCACCCCGAAACAAAACCACTTTATTCTCCCTATTATATGCCATAAGTTGGATGACCAGACATGGGTCTCCTTCTCATTCTTCTCCTCATCCTCTTCAACGGTTATGGCCTTTACTTTGAGGTTTTTGTAGTACCGAATAATGGGAAGCGTGTGTGTCACGTTGTGGCAAATGAGGCAGACAATCATGAACGCGATGCTCACACCAAAGTAAAGGTTGGCACTGCGCCTTAGACCATGGGCATCTTGAGAGAAGATGGATTTGGTAATGATCCTCATTAGGGAGACAAGCACACCTTCAATCACGGTAAAGCAATGCATGTGTTTGGTTACCAAAAGATACAATAAACAGCATGCATGCACACATACTAATACTATCTCTCTCTATGTATGTAAACACACATACTACCACAATATATGATCGTATTCTATGTATGACATCTCTTGAAATTTTTGAATAGATTATATGTATAGGACGAATCAAAGCTTGAAAAAATTTGCAAATGTTGATTGGTTGGGAGAATAAAAGGAAAGACATTCTGTTTTAGGTCATTCTGTGTACCCTAGAGAGAACTTCACCGGGAGCAGCAAGAAAAACACATTGATTTCCATGTCGAAATGTATAAATATGAGGAAGTACCCAGATTACTTATTTGAACGGTGTAGACCCAATACAACACCAATTAGAATATGTGATTTGATTCAAGTAGAATTCTCGAAAAAGGCAAGGGGTAGGCTCAAAAGGATATGGATAGAAGTAGTATAAAAGATATGGGAACTTTTGGCCTTAGTGAGGGTATGGCTCTTGATAGAGCAGAATAACGAAACATGATTTGTGTAGCTGACTCCAAATAGTATAGATAAGGCTCTATTGATGATGATGATGATTATGACTTAGATTACATATTTTTAAATAAACATACCAAAGGTGAAACTACTTGAGAAGTAGTGATTGAATTGTATTCAGCTCCAATAAGGTTGCAGCATTTGCTTACCATTTTGTTATGAGAAAATTACTGCAGCCGAAGTTAAAAGCCACTTTGGAAGACCAGCTCTACTTTGCCCCAATTTGAAAACATGCCGACTCACAACCATGCATGGATTCATACATTGATTAGATAAGTTCATGTCTCTGATATTTTTTATTTTTATTTTTTCTATTATAAACTCATTACTGAATCAAGAAATGGAATAATAGGTAAGTTTCCATGTAGTTTTCAAGGTAAGACAACTATTTTTCTTTTGACCAAAAGGAAGATGATAATAGTGCAACTGGCTTTCTGGTTTATGCACCCACTAGGCATGCCTTTAAAGACTTGAAAGATAGGAAGCTATACTATTTCCATTTTGATCTTTGAAGAGAAGGAATGTTACATAAACCCCAACCACCCAACCATAACCAGCCGTACAAGAAACCCCTAGATTGATGCCTTGTTAAAAACCTCTAATGTCCATAATGTACTCAAAAGAGTAAATGTCCCATGAGATAAGATGTTGGAATCTTCGTCTCCAGACCAGTTTGCATGTATGTACGAGGCTCTGCTAGTGCTACGCCTTGTGCGCTGCTTGCTGATTTTGGGATATCTATAGTATGGCAACTTTTTTGTTTTTGTGTATAAGGGGGTATTCTCAATGGGGTCATCTTTCTGAAAAAGGTGTTTAACCAATGTATGGATTTTACTCTGTCTAGTGCAGCCTAACGGGCACATGCAAACATGCCGTCCATTTATACACTTTTGAACTCATGATAAGTAATGCCGACCAATCTTGGTATGGCTAAATTTTATCTAGTCTCTTGTGCTGAGAACAGCCATCTGATAGAGATGTCTACTGCTTGGTTACTGCAATACCCAACTTGGTGGCCAATGCTCATGGAGAGTGAACTTGGGTGATCTTGCCCCCATATGGGGGACATGACCCCAATTCCTTAGGGATCAGTCAATATAATTCATCCCCATGTCAAATAATTTTTTAAAGGGAAATAAGTCATAAATGCATATCAAAAAGTAAATGATGCGGAAAAATCATCGCTTGTATATTTTCTTGAGAAAACATACTTGCAAGTAAAAACATATATTACTGATATGCTTACTGTGTACATAAATATAATTTATAAAAACTGTGTATTTGGTTTTTGTTATTTATTTTATATACTTATTGTAAGAGAACTCCTAGGACAATCACAAATAAGGGAGGTTCTTGCTACAATTACCCCTTGCTCCCGCACCCACTCACCCTTTCAACAACTATTGTCTACCGTTTCAAGCTTTTGTGAATGTCCATCGAGTATGATCACCAACTCTGCCCTATCAAGGATCTAAAAGAGTACCTTCTTCTTTTGAGAGTAGCACAAGCGTACTTATGTCTCTTAAACCACTTGTACTCTTAATCCCACTACAGGTGTACCTTCTTATGTCCCTTAAAACAATGTATGCTCTTTGAAAATCAGGCCAATGCATCTGTTGGTGCATCCTAAGGACCGAATTCCCCCAATCCTGGCCGATTTCACAACTTAATGTGGACACCATTGAAATTTCCATAGGGGGCCCCAAAGCCGACTCGAGTACCCACTACCAACCTACTTGCATCTAAGCCTAAACAAACAAGAAAAACAGGATCTAAAAATGAAAAAAAAAAACAGTCCTGACCCATTGACATTCATTTAGCAAAATTGTCGGTCACAATAAAACAAAGGCCCAAAATCTGTGCCCATCCATAGAAAGACAGTAAGGGCAGCATAACGTCACTCTTGTAGTCTAAGCTTTGTGTACCGGCAAGATGCCCAAAAGTGGCATATTGCCTTCCCTCTGGACCCATTAGGACCACAATTGATCAGCTTTTCTAGATCAAATCACTGTAGTACATGGATGATAAGCTTGGAAAGCCATCCCAGTCAAAATCTAAAGTAGTTTATCAGAGAGAGAGAGAGAGAGAGAGAGAGAGAGAGAGAGAAGTCCAGCATGAGAAAAAAAGCATCCCCATGGAGCCTCACAGAGAGAGAGCATCCCCATTGAGCAATTCAAATAAGAGGGATCATTGAGTGTGTGTGTGTGAGAGAGAGAAAGCATCCGAAAGAAAGAGATCCAGCATGAGAAAATAGGCATCCCCATAGAGAAATTCAAAGCTAGGACCATTTTGAGAGAGAAAGAGACAGAGAGCATCTAAAGAAGCAAGTAGATAGTACAAACACCCCCAATGGAGAACTCTAGGAAAACGCAGAAGCCATTTGCGTACCCGAAGCGGCAGTCCCAGCGACAACAGCCTGCATGTACCTCTCCGGCAGCTCTCCGGCGGACCCGATCAAACTGCCCTGCACCAGTGCATCCCCCATTCCAGACAATCCAGTCGCAACCACCGTCACATAATACGCACCATACAATCCCCTCCTCCCCTTCACATAACACACATCCATAACTGGAACAACCACTAGAGAAACAACAAACATCACTAGCCCAAGGTTTATCCTTATATATGCCCTCGATTTCTCGGCCACCCTTATAATTATCAGCAGAAAAATCAGAGCCACCAACATGTATGTCACTGCAAATACTCGGTCCACTGCGACGCCAGGGTAGAGGTAGGCAAAGTAATCGACTGCGGTGATGAAGGCATTCCATGGGACGAGGAATCCTGCCCCTAGGATGAAGTAAATGATGTATGCAAGGTGGAAGGAATCAGGGGGGATCTGGGTAGAGAGAGAATTCGGGTTCAGTGGGGTGGTTTCCAGGGTTTCTGATGAGTCCTTGGGAGATGTGGAGGAGAAGCCCATTGTTGAAAAATGGTGGGATTGGGTTTGCTTCTTTTGCAGATGGGGTTCTCTGTTTTTTTAGGGTTAAAGTTTGAAGTCGTGAAATTTAGGGTTTTCGATTGCATGGCCTAGGGTTTCGCAACTGGTTTCTCTGAAACTATAGCGCCATGGCCAGAGTTCACAAGGTGAGATCGATGAGGTTGGTGGTGAAGTTGTTAGCAATCAATGATGTGAACCAAACGATATACCCCTTTGTTTTTCCGTAAATTACGAAAATGCCATTCTTCCTGCTAATAATAAACTAAAATTAGAAGGAATAAATGTGTCATTTTGTAAATTACAAAAATGCCAGAAGAAAAAGTCTAGTGGTTGGTCAGGAGAAGGAATATTGTGCTCCCGAGGAAGCATATTATACTCCATATGGCAGAGGATTTGTCTGAGAGGATTTTTCAAATTTTGGGAATCACCAAGAATAGCTAAATGATCATTTCACAAGAAAAAGTTCAGATTTTTAGGCAAATATACTCTATTTTAACGATAGCAATACTCTCCATCTACTCCCTCCCTTCCAAAAAAAAAACTTTACTGGAATTTTTTTTTTTTACTATCAGATTATATAATCTTCTAAAAAATGACTATTTTCAAAAGTTTTAACATATTTTGTCATGTTATTATTATTTAAAGGAAAAAGTTTATACAAGGTTGAGGCCCTAAACAATCAAATTTAGGCGCACTTCAAAAATTCGCTAGAAGGTGTTTCGATATCTAAAAATCTTAAAATCCAACCATCTCAGACCTTGAGATACATGGACATAAAAAAAGAAGAAGATAGTTTTTCTCTTTAAATTGAGATAGTTGTTTCTCTAAATATTTTAAAGTAGTTTGTTTCTCTCTTAAATTTGATATTGTTTCTCTTTCTAAAATTTTGATCAAATTTTTTACAAGGGGGAAAATTTTTACAATAGGGAAAATTTCTTACGTATTTGCCGCATACTAAATGTGCGTAACATAATTTTCACATGAAAATATTTTGTACAAAAATATTTTCATACCTACCAAATGTGTGCAAAATAGTGTAAACCAAGGTTATGCAAATAGATGATCCAAACAAGGGATTTACATAATCTGGGTATTATCTAAAAATTATCCAAACAATCATTTCTTAATAATCAGGATTTGCATAACCATATGATCCAAAAAATAGTTTGTCTACCTTAGGATCCAAACGAGCCCTAGTTTGCATATTAATACAAGAGCACAAGTCCTGTGTTACAAAATTGAAAAATAGTTTTTAGTTAATATTCTTTCTCCATGTTTGGAACCTAAACAAACAGGAGTATTTGCATCACTCGGTTGAAACCACCCCCCTAGTTCCAAACTGGTTCCAATTTTGAAATAATAAAATTTTAAATTAGACCCTCTGCGGTACTTGCATGTATAGATGCGTGCACATATGGTAATTATGGCCTCTATCATGAACGGCTAATTGTGTTATTAAAGGAAACCGTGTGAGCATTTATACTCAGTGTCTATGCGCCAACAAAAATTAGGAAAAATATCTCTTTATCTTCTATTTTTAACTTCCATACATCTCTCTTTAAAATCTATATCTTTTTTTTCGCTTCCCGATGAGTTTATCAGCTAAAGGGTTTAGCTTGAGCTTGAACACGAGCACACTTCTTATGTATGAGAGAGAAATAGAGTTTGAAAGAGAGAGAGATGGAGTTTAGGTTTTAGAGAGAGATGAAATTTGAGTTTTAGGGAGAGAGACAATGATGTGTGTGAGAGAGAGAGAGTTTGGGTTTTAGAGAGAGATAGGGTTTTGAGATAGAGATGATGATGTGTGAGAGAGATGGAGTTTTAGAGAGAGAGATAGATAGAGTCATTTTATAAGTTGTTGAGATCAATAATAGATAGTCAAAAAGATTTTGGGGGTTGGAAGATAGAAAAGATGGAGTCATTTTGCTTACAAGTAATATTTTAAATTTTTGGATCTCATGAGATATAGAAGTTAAAAATAAGGGATACTAAGATATTTTTTCAAAAAATTATACAAGTCAAGTGGGTTTGTATTATACCATAAGCTACTTTGAAAAATAGAGGTTACTTGGACTCTAAATTACGGTAAGGTACTTGTTAAGGGGCTCTATAAAGTGGGAGTTAATACCTTTGCTTAGCGTCTAAGGAAATAATTTCGTGTGAAAGACTTCCCTTGTAGGGTTAGGTGAAGGAATATTTTAACACGGATTGGTCTCGGTATATTTTTTTCACACAACTGACAACTAATTGGTGTAAAAATATTTTCACACCTGACTACATGTGAAAATTTTTTCACGTGTGCGAACCAAACTTGTTGTAAGGTAGTTTAGATTTCCATCCAATTCAAACTCTCTCTCTTGTCACAATAAATATATTCATTGAAGATTTAACTAGAAATATAAAGAGAAATTATCAGAAATATATCTTAGTTATTGTCTAATTAGAAAAAAAAAGACTCAAACATTCATAAAGCTCATTTATATCCTTTTTCCTTTTTTTTTGGGACAAAAATAAGCTTCACGGTAGTCATATTACCATGAAGCCTATGCATTACGGTACTTAAAGTACTGTGATGACTAAATCTTATGCATCACGGTATTTAAAGTACTGTGATGACTAAATCTTATATTTTAACATGTTATTGGAAGGTAATGTTTTGAGGACATTACCGTACTTTAAATACAGTTATTCATAAGACATCTTATATGGCACTTAATATGCCGTGAGGAGCTAAGACCAACCGTGTACCCCACCAATGTGAAAACAAGAAAAGATGAAGAATAGCGATGCCCCTATAATATTTTCATTTATCTTCTCTTTCATGTCTATCTTACAAAATTAAAAAGATTTTTTTTTTTTTGACAAATAATTCGAAAGATATTCTTCCTAAAGTTTATCTCTCATTGCACAACTATTTTCTTTCTCTCTTCTTGGATCATACGAGGATATCTTGATACTATTTTTCATTTATCTTTTTAAATTTTAGAAGATATCTTCTTAAATCTTTCTTTCCCCAGATTTTAGGGGATTTTAAAAATAGAAACTCCATCTCTCTCTCATGTAACTCTCTCTTTCACACCCTTACATATCTCACTCTATCTTTTAGGCATTATTTTTAAGAATATCCTCCTATCCTATTTAAAAGGCATCAAAAAATGTAGGGGAAAGTCCTTCTCTCTCCTTCCACTTAACTCTCTTTATCTTTATCTCCCTCACGCAATAAAGAAAATAAATATTTAGGAAATCCCCCAAGTTCTCTCTTTAGGTATAGAGATAAAGATGAGGAAGAGATATTGTGATTCGAAAATCGGTATGGAATTGTTCGATCTGACTCGATAATCGGTCACCCTGTTTTAGTTCTACATATACATATAGGAACACGGCTTAGTCCAAAAGGGTACTAGTGGTTTCGAACAGTAAAACAACAATTATCTACAGTAAAATGGTGATCTTGGCTGTTAATTCACCTATCTAGATCGGTTTTTGGTCAATTCATTGTTTCTTCACATATTTTTCCCTACTTCACTTTTTTTTCATACAATAAAATGGTGATCCAGACTGCCGATTCACTTATCTCGGACCTATTTTTGGAATGCCCGATCCAAGTCACCGATCCATTTTTTAAAAGACCCCCGGTTTTTATGAATCCCTAGACTCGTACTATTTTCATGCAGGCTCCCTTGAGCGCCCATTATTTGTATCGATATTGGATCCAAATTTGTAGTGATCCATGATCTACATTATGGTGAACATAAATATAAGAAATAAAATATAATAAAATAAACTTTTAAAACATTTTTATTAGAATATTTTCTTATTGTTGGATAGGAATATTTAGTTGTGAATGTTCATCTTAAAGTTGAACATTTGTGATTGTGCAGACTAGTGAATCCGCTAACTCACAAAACACTTTTTTTTTGTTTTTTAATCACTTATTTCAACTAAGGAAACCGTTTCTATGAGTCCATGTCGAAATGAGTCGACTCTTAAAATTTTATTTTTGAGATGGATTTTTGCATGCAATCTCTAATATGGAGATCATGAATATAAAAAAATAAATAAATTTAAAAAAATAAAATTAACGATTTAATGAAAATCACATTTGGACCGTTAATCATCATACAAATATGACCTTAAACCATAATTCCCCCCAACCTCATAGGTGCAACTTTTACTTTGAAATGAAATAATAACACAATGAAAGGAAAAGGTTTATATTACTCCTAGGTTTTATAAAGTAATACTACACGTCAAAACCAAGTAAGAAGAAGAGGTATTGTCCTGAATGCAACAAAGAGGAAATGAAGACTACATAGAGAGAGAAACAAGAGAACAAAGAATTTAGAGAGAGAGAGAGGGGGGAGGGAAAGAAGCGAGAGAAGAGGAGGAGAACACGAAGACAGCTTCGATTTTAATAGAGGATAGAATTAGAGACATATTTGGAAGGAATAGAGAGAGGTACAGATAAACATGAGGGGAAGAGTGTGACTTTAGTCCCATATCAAAGCCACACAAGTCATTTATAACAGATAAAAATTCTAAGTCCCACATCTGCAGTCGCTGAGCTCAGTAGCGTGGGCTTGTAACTCAAGCGAGGGCATACAAAGTGGTCGGACAGTCACTTGGCTCTCTTGGGTGGGTGGGTTGCGCTTGGTTCAAGGTGTCCTCTCCAAGCTAAGAGTTGGCTGTGCCCCTTTGACCGGAGGGTTGGGGTGGATTGGTACTTAGAGTGGAGGAGAACGCGTGAGGCTGGTTTGACAGAGCAGCGATTACCTCCCGCTCTTGGCAGTGGAAGGATAACACGTTGATGTGTGATCTGCCCAAATCCAAACCCTAGAGCTCCAAACTCACATGGACAACCGCTTTTGCCTCCGCAATCAAAGCGCGGCGCGTCTTGCCATTCCGCTTTTGGCAGTGGGTGTTTTGCATCGGCAATCAAGGTCAATCACCTTTGTCATTCTGCTCTTAGGCAGTGGTGTTTGCCTCGGCTCCTTTTTGCGGTCAATCACCTTGGTCATTATGCTGTTGGCAGTGGTGTTTGCCTCGGCTCCTTTGGCGGTCAATCACTTTTTGCCATTCCGCTCTTGGCAGTGGAAGTGCGTGGACTCGGCTCTTTTTTGCGGTCAATCACTTTTGCCATTCTGCTCCCTCTTGGCAGTAGAAGGATAACATGCTAGTGCATTGTCT